GAAGGTAAATGATACGTTCGATTTCCTGGCTAGCGTGTTTTTAGCAAGCCGTTATCCAGAAGATACAAATGTTTATTAATAGTTGTCTACACAAAATACTTCGGATCCATTGGCCGGACAATACCATCAACAACCTGCTGTGGGAGAGAACAAACCAGATTCCAGCGAAGGAAGAAATCAGGAAGAAGCGCTGGAAGTGGATAGGACACACATTGAGGAAAGCACCCAACTACGTCACAAGACAAGCCCTCACATGGAATCCTGAAGGCCAAAGAACACATTACGCCGAGAAATGGAGACAGACATGAGAAAAATGAACAAGAATTGGATGGAACTAGAAAAAGAGGCACAGGACAGAGTGGGTTGGACAATGCTGGTCGGCGGCCTATGCTCTATTGGGAGTAACAGGCGTAAGTAAGTAAGATACGTTCGATTGTTTCCACTTGTGTTCTTGTTCACTAAAGAGGAAGTATTGGACGGCTGTTTCATCTTAGTATGAAACTCCTCAGTAGTGCCTATCCACAAACTTGCCCACAGGATTCGTTTTCGGTCACAGACGCTTAACCTATAGACAACTGGGTCAACATCCAACGGTGGATGCGTACTGCTTAGAAGTCCCATATGAGGATGAAATGGCTGTCCAGGTTTTCTATGGTGTCCTAGCCTTAATTGACACATCAATTCAATTATTAAACTACTATTATATTCACAAAAAATCCATTCTGATCATAATCTTAATTTGTTTTTTCTTAATAAATACAGCTAAATATCAGCCATCAATGAAAAATATTCAGTAGATAATTGTTTCATAAACGTTTGGTCAATTCACAGTAGTTCACAGCAATTCCATTTCATTGAATCAACGTACATACTAATAGATAGCTCCTCCTAACAAACAAAATTATTCATAAGGACTAAAAGACAGTGATGAGTAAATGTTTTTCTTTATCTATTTATTGATTGGTCTGAATACACAAATATTGATACGAAGGGGCACCGAATACATATGCTTCACAAAAGTCTTTTGATTTTTGTGTGACCTATGATACTGTCCGGATGCCCAGACCGAATCAGGTGATTTTCTTAGGGAGCCGCACTCGAAGCCTTCGACCTAGAGATCTGATCCACAAGGTAGTTGAGTAACCTCAGGAGATGCAGTGGCATGGTGACCGGTGACCAATAATTGGTTGATATTCCATTTGTTCTTTCAGGATACTGAAGCCCATACGCACCACTGTTTTGGAATCACGATTTTCCAAACCCGTTAATTGAATCCTCCGTATCCTTCAACCTGGGTAAAGCATCGGTCATTCGCTTAACGTCCCCTTAATTATGTGAACGACACCCCCATCACGAGAAGGCAGTGAGTAACACTTTCCTGGCAACGGTTGTATGCATGTGGCCATGTGAGAGCATTTCGAGAGGGAAAGTTAACTCTCTCCAACTTCCACCGTACTAGGGCGTTTGGAGTCTACTGTATACCTAAGAACTAACACAGAATCAAACTCTCGACTTTTATGCCTTAAGTAGAAATTACATTATCTTTAAATGACTTCGTCTGAATTTAGAGCATTATATATTGAATTTTAGATTATTATCAATGATAACTATCCATTAATATTACATTTAAAATTATTCTAAATGATATCTGTTTTTAAACATTTAACAAGAAACAAATTCTTATGGGTTTTTATATCAGTCTAAATGACTTAGGAAATGTTTGACTTAATTGTAATAAGACATTGAATTATAACCACTTGGTATGGTTTACTTGTATCTTCTCGTTGTTATTTAGGACTGCAATTGACCAGTCTCTTGTTGGTATATGTGCATCCTGTGCGGACTGCTTCGATATTACCTGAGGTCACAAGCTTTTTACGAAAAGATTGATAGTGGGTAGTAGTGGAATCCAGTTTGATATGCGTTTCGTCCTATTTAGGACTCGTCAAATAGATGTACTTACATCTCAGGGTTGATGTTCACTATGTGACTGCAACCAAGTACTGTTCATTTCAAACGTCATGGCGTTATCGAACTAGCTCATGAGTCCTAATAGCCACCTGCTTGTGCAATGGAGAGTGAAGTTATATTCACTTGGTGTTAATTACTTGTATCTTCCCATTGTTAATAAGGACTATAATTAAACAGTCTTTTATCGGCATATATTTATCCTGTATGGATTGCCTCGATATTGTCTTATGTCACAAGTTTTATAGGTAGAGATTACGACCATTGAAAGTTGAAAAGTATAACAAACAAGTAGAATATCTTTTCGATAAACTACTTATACGTATTTTGATGTTTACTTTTTAATTTATAGAAATGCAAATAACCGGTATAACAAAATCTTAGTTTAAATTTTGAGTCTTACTAAAACCATATATTGTGATAAGTTTCCAACTCGAATAAAATAATTTTATGATGCTTATTTCTTTCGAATAATTCACTCGCCAATATTAGTGATTGGCTTGAAGTGGTATTTCCTGGAGTTCTAGTGAGAAGCAGTGACCAGTGGAGTTAAACCGGGTCTGTTGTCAGATAAAAACTCATTGATGACAATGGTGGATGTGTCACTCAATGTCGTGGATTAATTGAAGTTAGACATTAACACCGTTGGATCTCTAACGGATCAGTGGTCTAGTGGTTAAGAATTCACGCTCGAGACTGATAGGTCCTGTGTTTGAATCTCGCGAGTCGGGATCGTCGATACACGCACTACTGAGAAGTCCCATAATAAAACGAAACGGCATTTAGTGCTTCCATGTTTCCCTAGGTGGCCAATCTTCAATTGACTCATGATCTCAATAATTTAAATTACTATAATATCCACAAAAACCCCTTTTATGATATTAATGATAAAATAAACTAAATATCAATAATTGAGTTTTATAGCAAATGTCATTTATTTTTCAGTACTCCGTTGAATATTGCTTCTAAACATTATAAACTTATAAATAAATTGAAAATTCCCAGATCATTCCATTTTCAGCATTCGTCATATTAAGTAAAATCGAATATTAAACAATTTTCTCTGGGATACAGAAATATATCACTGTTTATATGAACTGAATTTGACAGTTTTACGGCTATTCGTTTTTATAAAGTATCAATAGGATGTGTTTGGTAATAATAAATAACAGTTTGATAAATGGTGAAAGACAATTCACATTTGAACACCGGTACTATGGACGAAAACAATGTTACAAATATTTATTGTCAACATAGATATTATACAAAAAGAAAAGACTTGAAATAGTTGAATGCATATATCTTGATGCTTATATGATGTGAATGATAACTGAAGCTATATTGACAGCAAATATCATACAATCGATGGTGAATATTACTATTTAAGTATTTAAATGATATCAGAATAATTTCAATAAATGAATTCATAAGTTCATTAAAGGTAGACCACCATGAAAAACTTGTAAGCAGTGGAAAGCCGTTTCGCTCTAGTATGGAACTTTTCAGCAGTGCACTTATCAACGATTCGAATACAGGATCGACTAGTAATACTTGCATCATCGATAAACAACGAGACGTAAACGCGAGGATTGGTAAAGCAAGGGCAGCATTCCTACAATTGAAGAACATATACAACTCAAAACAACTGTACGTCAACCAACATCAAAGTCACAATATTCAATACAAACATAAAAACACTTCCACTTCACCGAGTTGCAACTTCAAGAACTACCAAAACCATCATCAAGAAGGTACATGTATTTATAAACAATCATCTACGCAAGATACTCAACATCCATTGACCGGATAACATCATCAACAGCCTTCTGTGTGAGAGGACAAACCACCTTCTAGATGAAGAACAAATTATGAAAACATGATGATGGAAATGTATAGGATATACATTGTGGAAATCATCAAACTGCATCACGATACAAGCTCTCACTTGGAATATTGAAGAGAAGTGTAAAAGTGGAAGATCAAACAACACATTACGTCGGGAAATGGAATCAGATATGAAAAGGACGAATAACGAATGGAATGATCTGGAGATGATTGTTGAGGATAGGGTTTGATGGAGCATGCTGGTGGTAGGCTTATACTCCTCCATGAGGAGTAATAGACGTAATTAAGTAAGTAACTAAGTAAGGAGTAATACTTAACAAATAGTTAGATTATGTAATAATGATATAATAATATCTATCAATTCTAATATCACTTACTAATTTACCATCTAATGTATATAATTTATGTATAGGCAATTGAAATAATTCACTTAATTCTTGTAATATATTATCAATGGTTTTAATATATTTACTTTTAATTAATACTGATTTAATGATATTAAATTGTTTATTTAAATGTACATAAATACGCTTCACTTGTTTTAATTGTTGCCTCTTATTATTATTTGAATCTATAATCAATGTATCAATTGTTGGTAATATAATACAATTTGTTGACTGATTCAATGTACTATTATAATTATTATTTAATTCTATCTTTGAACAATGTAACGATGAATGATATAACTTTGATAATGATGATGATGTTAATGATGATGATGATGGCTTGTTGTCAGCTCTTTTATCTAATTTATTGTTTAGCTTACGATTTCTTAATGTATTATCATAGGGATTATTCTGTTGTAAATCATTCATTGATTTTACTTTATTCATTGTTTGATATGTATATACCATTTGGGTATTATTATTATTATATGATGGTAATGGATTAGTCAATTCATTTAATAATGCTTCTAAACTTCGATGTATATTTGATTGTACAGTTAAATGTAATTCATTTGATGGATTATTTATATTATTACTATTATTATTGTGACCATCATAAAAATACATTGTTTTAATTATTGGCAATATATTAGTAGGTGAATTATAAATAGAATCTGGTGTAATACTCATAGATTGATGCTCCTGCTGATTCTGCTGCTGCTGCTGTTGCTGACGATGATGATGATATGTATATGGTGTATTATTCTGTTTTGTTTTCTCTATCATTTTAATGTCATAATTACTTCAATTATTACTATTATTATTACTATAACGATTAAGTAGTCATGAAGAATTTGAGAGTGATAATAAAAGTCACATACATGTTACTAAGTGTACGTGGATTCATTGAAATTCTGGGATTTTTTGTCAATTTTTTTCTTTCTTTCGGAATGCGTAAACATTAGGAAACAAGAAGAATTTACATATATATAGTTGTATATATTCCACAATATTATATCATAATATAATGTAATATTCTTTTCTATAATAAGTAGTATATTACACAATAATAGAGAATTTTCATAGATGGATAGATAGAATGAATCGTATTCAAGTATTAGAAAATCTATATTTTTTTCTTGTTTGAATTTTAAACAGGGTACGTCATTATTTTTTTTCGGGGGGGGGTATTTCAATATTTAAGTTATATTGAAAGTCATATGATTAGAATGAACAAGACTATGTACCGCCTAAAGTTTATATATCCTATAGTAACAAAACCCTACATGTATGTATATACACTTATATTAGTCAATTAAATATTTCGATCTACTCAACAACAACAACAACAAAAATAGAATTTTGATTGGGGGAAAATGATATTTCATTCAGAATGTTAAATGATTTATCAAATGAAAATAAATAAATAAATTTGTATAATAGGGGTTAATTAAATAATATTAGATCATGGTGAGTTATATTTATTAGTGTTAACGAATGAGTTGCATAGCAACGTGAATATCCTTTTCATTGGAATATGTGTATATACTCATATGATCATTGATATACATACATACATACATACATACATACATACAGTACATATAGTACATATTACCTACCTACCTACCTAGATATATACATATATGCAGATAAATTAAAGACGAGTAAAATTCAAGCTATTTTGTCAGGTATAATAAACGGTAGTGATGTTAAACATGAAGTCATTTGAGCACAAAATTACCTATGATCATGAATTGATACTTACTTAGTTACGTCTGTTACTCCTCGTGAAGGAGTATAAGCCTACCACCAGCATGCTCCATCAAACCCCATCCTCAACAATCATCTCCAGATCATTCCATTTGTTATTCATCCTTGTCATATCTGATTCCATTTCCCGACGTAATGTGTTGTTTGATCTTCCACTTTTACACTTCTCTTCAATATTCCAAATGAGAGCTTGTATCGTGATGCAGTTTGATGATTTCCACAATGTATATCCTATCCATTTCCATCATCATGTTTTGATAAATTGCTCTTCATCTGGAAGGTGGTTTGTTCTCTCACACAGAAGGCTGTTGATGATGTTATCCGGTCAATGGATGTTGAGTATCTTGTGTAGATGATTGTTTATAAATACATTTACCTTCTCGATGATGTTTGTAGTAGTTCTTGAAGTTGCAACTCGGTGAAGTGGAAGTGTTTTGACGTTTGTACTGAACATTGTGACTTTGATGTTAGTTGACGTACAGTTGTTTTTAGTTGTATATGTTCTTCAATTGTAGGAATGCTGCCGTTCATGAATTGATAAGTATTCATCAAACATATTATGAATACAAAATTACATGTTCCATTATAAAATCACTAAGATAACTTACGGTGATAAGAATTTGTTTACTATTTATTAACATATAACTTTAATAAATAGAGTCGTACTACTGATAAGAATGACAGTTGAAGTTTTAATATTCTGTGTTTTATACAATTTTCGCTAAGCTAAACACATGAACGGTTTTTCATTGTTACTGAAATTAAAAGGAAACTATGATTTCACGAATTCCACGTGAGCGATTTTGAAAGTGCACTGCTGGTAAATCCATACTAAGACGAAATAGCATATCACCTTTGCTTCCAGGTTTTCAACAGTAGTCTAGCATTGATCGATTCATGATCACAATCAAAACTCAACAATCTTCACAACTTTGTACTGATAAAATGAAACTGTTTACATTCATCACTTTGCAATTATTTTTAATATGATACTATGTGTTTTGGGCGTTAATAAATCTTCCCTTATACCAGTCTTGTGTTCTTACTTTCGAGTCGTGGAGATTGCAGAGGTCCCTCGTTTCGAGTAGAAATAATAAACGTTTCCGACGTAACAATCAGCGACGACCAGATATAAAAAGTAGCATTCAAAACAACAAAACATATCACTATGGTTACAGCCAAAAATACAAGACATGTAAAATTTGTAATAAAGTTAGTTTATATATAAATTTTCATATTGATAGTAACTGATACGTTTGTGTCATGTTTAGTCAATTGTCGAAATATATATTGAATCGATTCATATTTACTTTTACTTTCAATTGTATTAGCCATCTAATATAAAACCATATCAGTCACAAAGTTACTTTATATTGTTTCATGATCGACTTTTAAAAAAATATGGAAAATTGAACTATACCCAGGGTCAAGGATTAGACAACCTGATAATAATAATAATTATTATTATTATCAGTTTTATTCAATATTATATTTTTGGTACAATACAGAATTCTCAGCACAAAGTATTTCAACAAGTTTCCGTTTCTTTCTTCTTGGTCGATCCCGACGATAAATATTGAGTGATCGCCAGATAGATGTTCGCAGTCCAGTAAATGAACATCTGAACAATGTATATTCTTTTCTCTGCATATTGCCAGCGACCACATTATCTCTTATTGGGCTTTTTGTAACTTTCACAACGAAAGGTTGTACACTTTTCAGAAATGCACCATGATAGGTTATGTGATTAATAGACAAAATGATATATTAAAACAAACAAAAATAAGTAAACTTGTTGAAATATCTAGATGGCAGGAACAAGTAGCCCAGATGCTCAGGCAGGCTGCCTTTCATGATGATGATAATTTAGATTTTCAAGAAATTCTCAACTAATTAATTATCTATGAATAGGAATTAGAATGATATTTATATACTTAAGCTGGAATACATAGACTACTTATTGATATGATTTATAAGTAGTTTCATTTAGTGAAGATGAAGAAAACGTTTTTGCTTAAGCATCATATAAACCTGACAAATGGAAGTTTTTATTGTGCTCGAAAAATCGTTGTCTTTGGATTAAACTTGTAAAATCGTTTATAAACTACAAATGTGAATTTCAATTCGAATCATAAGTGACCATTTAAGATTTGAAATTCTTACATAATCCATTAGTATTATAGTAGTAAACAGTATTATATAAAGTAGAAATGAAAATTATCAAGGAAAAAACTTTGAAATGTTTGAAGAATTCTGGTTAATATCAGAAAGAGATTTTGTAGAGATTGTGGTAGTAAAATTCATTAGTCAATTTTCTTATTATATTAGATTCGAATCTAGGAACTTTGGTCCTGCGAGCAGGATCTTGGATACGCACTGCTGAGGAGTCCTACAATGGGATGAAATGACCGTCCAGTGCTTCCAGGTTTCCAACGGTGGTTTAAAATTAGTCAGTTCATGATCTCAATTAAAAACATAACAATCTCCACAACCGCTATACTGGCAGTTAACATGTGCTCACTAGTTAATTGATTTGTGAGGGAATTCTCGAAGTTCTAATGAGAAGCCGTGTCGGGTAGAGACAGGTATCTACCTCAGTACAACGGAAGTTGGTTGCACAATTTCGTGGATTGATTGAAGTTAGACATTAACACCATTGGATGCCGACTCAGTGGTCTAGAGGTTAAACGTTTGTGTGCGAGACTGAACACCCTGGATTCGAATCCCGCGAGCGAGATCGTGGATGCGCACTTCTGATGTGTCCCATAATGGGACGAAACAACCGTCTAGTACTTCCAGGCTTTCAACGGTTGTCTAACACCAATTGGTTTATGATCTTAATTATAAAATTTTATCTAAACATCTTCATGATATTTAGATGTATTTTCTTCACGTGTATATTGTTACCTTTATTTTTGCCTATCCGAGAAACAAAGCTCATGTGAACTATTAAGGTCATCACTTGCAACAAAGAAGTAGATTATGTAATATAATGGAAAATGTTTTCAGTCATGTGATAAGCCTTATGTTCTATATATTTCAAGAAAATAAACATCACATTAATTTACATTGGGTAGACTACATTATTTTTTTTTAAAACCAAATTATTGTTTCTAACCTTAGTAATACGTATGAAAACCATTTGTTTGTTTATATACATCTGGTTTCAATAATCTAATGATGATTTGATTAGATGATTTTGTTTATTCTATCGGCTAGTTATACAATGATATCATGTGTATTTTATAAGAGTTATGATATTAACATGTGCATTCATATGTTCAATGAGAATATAAGAACTTTTGTTTAAAGTTAATTGAATAGTTTCAAAGTATTTAGCGCGTCCAGTTAACATGACACATTAATGATGTAGAATGTATTTGTAAAATCTAAGCGAATGAATTCGAAGTTAATCCAACGTTTCATCTGGTAATCTGATCCAAGCTTTTTCAAAGAAATACAATAAAACATCAAACTTTTCTAACATAAATAAGTACATGGTTATCTGATGAACTTTAAACAAAAATAGATCATTCAATCAATGTTAACAATGTTTAAAGCAGGCATTTGCTTTAATGTGTAAGAGATATGTAGTATGAAAATGTTTTTTGTTACTTAATTCATCACAATGTTTAGGACTTGATGGTATCTTAAACTTTCTTTTTTTAAAAGTATGTTGACGTTTTATGTCATCCGTTCACGAATATATTTAACAGATCCTTCTCATCTAATCTCATACGGAAAATGTGGAGAAAGATAAAGATAATCCCTTTACCTAAAAAAGTATCTGAGGATAAGAATGTGAAATTTAGACTAATAACAATAACTTCACTTTTCCTCAAAACAATCGAAAAATTATTGATATTTCCACATCAACCTGAGATAAAAGAGCACATTAATCCATATCAGTTTGCTTGCAGAAGCAAAAGAAGCACCTTAGATTCCGTTGGTATTCTGTATCACAATATAGTATTTAGCTTGGAAAAGGGTAAGAAGTATGTTCGATGAGCTTTTCTGGACTATACTTCTGCTTTTGATTCTATCCCAAGAAAACTTTTACTTAACAAGTTAAGTCATCATCAGGCTATGTTCCCACACAGTACAATGTGTTTGGAAGGAAGTGTTCAACGTCTTTAATG